AAACTAATATTAAAAATCTTAAAGCTTAATAGCTTAAAAAAACTCAACAACATTATTAAAGAGTTTAAAATATAGTTTCACATTACACCTTTGAAACTTTCTCTCCCCACGAGCCTATGGGTGTATTACCGGACTCAATCAAGTAAAGATTTCTTCTACAACTGGAACAAGCAACAGTTGGGTAATTACTAATTTCCAGGGGATACCCGGGATATGTATAGAGCTTCATCAGATCTGTTATTGTTGAATTTACCGGAGATAAAGACAGACCTTGCTCCAAAAAGTTCCCAGCAGCAGCAACAAGTTGCATTTCCTTGAAAAAAATCAGTTGACATGCTAACACCAGCCATTTAAATTTATTGAAATCAATGTGAATTATATCCAAAAAAATGCAAACTTAATATAACACCATTAAGTTAAAATATTTATTCTTGAGAAAACTTTAGTTTAAATTGCAATCCACAAAAAAAGCTAACACAAAATTCCTTTGATATAACATTAACACATGTGCGAAAATTAGTGTTAACGCTTAACTAAAAACAATTAAAAAATCTTTTACAATTATGCAGCCTGAATTTTATTTTCCCATTAAAAAATTTACCTTAAAAAGTTCCCCAATTTATTATTATTAATTTATATTTATATATAAATGAAAATTACAAAATGGCTATTATTTCATTATTTAAAAAATAATTCAACTTTTAAATTCTTCTAATAAATTTGTCATTAATTTAAAATTGATATTAATAAAAACCAGTTATTTTAAATTTTGCAAGAAGTTCGGTTAAATTATATAAGTTGCAAAAAACATATTCAAAAAGATGTAGAGTTTCATCATTTTAATATATATATTTTTAATTTCAAATGTAAAATAGAGAACTTTCCATTAATTTTCAAACTGTTTTTATATAATTTTTAATCAGAATAAAATTCACAATCATATTCATTTATAAAAATATGAAAGTAGAAACTTATGCATTGCCTTTTTTTACCCTTTTTTTACCCTTTGCACTGTATTTAGATTTCAAAAAAAACTTTTTTTTGAAAAAATGGTTTCTCAAAAAAAAGTTTTTTTTGAAAAAAAATGCTTTAGAAAACTCCAAAAAAGCAACATCAACACATTTTCCATATTATGTAAAAGAAAAAAGATTTCCATATAATAAGACTACTTGAAAATGAATAATGGTGTTTTTTTTCAAAAAATGTAACTTCCAAAACATTAGCACTTTTTTATAACTACTCTAAAAAACTCACAAAAAATCAAAGGTCCTCATGGCAATTTTAAGGTACGCAGGCCTAAAGGTTTTTAAGGTACGCAGGCCTAAAGGTTTTTAAGGTACGCAGGCCTAAAGGTAAACGCTAAATACATAAGAGAAACAATCAAACATGGTGATGGAAAATGTGCAATGGTTTGTGGTTGTTTTTCTGGTTTTGCTGGAATCGGACCTATTTACAGAATAAATGGCATTATGGATCAATATATTTATCATGATATTCTCAAGGAAACAGTGGTTCCTCATGCTGATAAAAAATGCTTGAAAAAATGGTTCCTCATGTCTGGGTATTTTAAAAAGACAACGACCCCAATTAATTCTCTAAAATTTATTATAGAGTGGTTTGAAACAAATCAAATTAAAGTTATTAAATGGCCAGCTTAATCCAATTGAAAATTTAAGGTACCAATAAGCTTGGACAGGAATGGCATGCGATCGAATGCTATAGGTGACCACGCAAATGATTTTTTTTGATGACAACATGACCATAACTGTTTAGATGTTTTGATAATTTAAACATTTCAGAAATGCGCTAAAAAAAGAAATGCTAAGCTAAACAGTTGCATCTTTTTTTTTAAAGTTTAAGTTTTTATAAGTCTGAAAACTATGAAAAATATTAAAAAAGTATTAAAATTTAAACTATTAAAACAAAACAATTCCTCACAAAAAGAAAATATATAAGCTTAAAAATAAGACTCAAAAAATTCGAACTCGAGGCGAAATTTAGTTTATGTTATGTTTTCAATCGCGGTTGAAATAAATAACTTTAAAATTTATCTTTTGAAATGTTTTATTAAAATTATGTAAAACGCTTTTACAAATTTCTTCTAATAATTGTTTAATAAATAAACAAATTTTTTTTAAATTGCTGTTTATTTAAAAATTAAAATTAAATTATTGAAATAAAAAAAATAAAATATTTTTATATTACATTTTTTTTGAAAAAATCGTAAAAAAAATTTTTTTCTTGATAACAACTTTTTTAATAATAACGTCTATTTAAAAAAGTAGTTTTTAATCATTTCATTAGTAAGTCAAGTTTAAAAAAAAAAGTTTTTAAATAATTCTTTGTAAAAATAAAAACAAAAAAAAATTAAAGCAATCAAATCATTCCATTGCAACTGGAAGATTTAAATTAAACTTAAAATTTAAAGTATATAAAATAGCAATCTTATTAAAGATTTTTAGAAAGACATGGAAAAATAATTTTAAATGTCTAAATTTATCATAAAAAATACATGATTACTAAAAAAATATATACTCATTTAATTTACACAAAACGCGTGTATTTTAAATGATCATTATAATTAATTTTATTTTATTTAAAGCCTTCACGTAAAATTAAAATGTTACAAATTCAACGGTTGTTCATAACGTAATGATTTTTTTATTGGATTTAAATTGTTAAAACATTAAAATAGCCGTGATCAAATTGTAAAGAAAAATTATTAGCGTGGTCAGTTACAGAGTGCGATTGCACCCCATTCCTGTCCAAGCCAGTAATAAGTTGAACTTTCTCTAAAACACAAAGGGCCCTTCAAAAATATTGATGAGCTATATTGAAACCATGTGAAAAGAGATTACACAAGAAAAAGTTAATAAACTCATAGAGTTTATGCCAAGAAGATGCTCCATGATCCTAAAAAGTAATGGAAATGCCATTAACTATTAATTTTAGTGTTTTTTAGACAAGTTACCAATGTTTTGGAAAATCACATTTTTGCATTAAAATACCAATTTAAGAAACACATTTATTCATTTTCAAGTTGTCTTATTATGTACAAATCTTTTTTAAAAAATATTATTTTTTATTTAACTATTTTTTATGCTTATTTTTGCACTATTAGATAATTTAAAAGTATTTTGGCTAAAATGCTTTGATAAAAATAATAAGAATGATAAAAATGCTAAAGTGGGCAAAGCTACATAAAAAATGAACCATCATTGACTGTAAACGTTGGCTGACGTGTCAAGGTTTTAAATCTTTGGTTTAAAGATAAGATTATTTGTCCAGAAAAAAAAATTGTTGCATTTATGATAAAACAATGTGTATTATTGACTAAATAAAACATAGTGGATATAGTATTAAGGTGTGGGGCTATTTTGAAGTTAGAATGCCACAGACGACTGAAAATAGAGGGAGTAATGACAAAATTAGTTTACTTGTATACTTAAAAAATTATGCTACACCTTCGGAAAGATAGGTTAATAAAAAGCTATTCATTTTTTAAAAACAAAATGACTTGAAGCTTAAATCTAAAACATATTTTTTACAAACTTGTTTAGGCTATTTGACTGAGTTCAAGAATGATCAAATATTATATAAAATGATTTAGCCTCCCTAATTACAAGGTTCTCTTCTTTCAGATTTTTATGTGAAGAATTAAAAGTAAAGTAATTAGAGCCTGTAACAAGAAAAAAAAAATTTTTGACCCACCCTAATATATATATATATATATATATATATATATATATATATATATATATATATATATATATATATATATATATATATATATATATATATATATATATATTATATATATATATTATATATATATATTATATATTTATATATATATTATATATATATATTATATATTTATATATATATTATATATTTATATATATTATATATATATATATATATATTATATATATATATATATTATATATATATATATATTATATATAGAGGTGTACCGGATATAGCATTTTACGTATCCGGCCGGATACGGATATGCCGGATTTAAAATTTCATATCCGGCCGGATATGCCGGATATACCAGATATATTGAAAATTAGGATAGGATTTAGTTTTGATGTTTGTTTTTAGTCAAATTGAGAAAGTTCAAAATAGTGTGTAATCCACAAAAAAAATAAAAAAATTGTATTACATTTTGCATGTCTTTCTGCATAATTGGATTATCTGTTTTTATTGTAGTTTGAAAATTTATTAACAATTAATTACGTAGCAATAACTTTAAAATTAGGTTGCTATCTAAATTTCCAAACTATGTATTGTTACTTTAATTTTTTTGTTATGTTTTTTTTATTGTTTTCTTTACAATGTAACAATGCATTTGGAATCTAACAATGTTTACATTGAAAGTTAACAATGCAATATTAATTTCAATGTAGTATTTATACACTGTATAGATATCAAAATTACCATCTGTATAATACAGATAAATATCTTGGTATCAAATGTATGTGTATAATTATTATACACATACATTTGATACCAAGATATTTATTAAATATTAACTATTATACTAATATAGTTAAATATTTAATGTCAATTGTGAACACGTTTAGTTTTATATTTCAGACAAACATAATAATGCAGAGCTTTATCTGGTCATTGTATAAAATAAATGATGCAAGTGATGTGTATGCAAACTGTAATATCTGTAAAAAAATGATTAAATGTGGAACTATGGAGACTGGGCAAAAATGTTTTAGTACAACACCTCTGCATAACCACATCAAAATAAATCATCCAAAAGAATATCATATAGAACGAAATAAAAATGAACAGAAAAAAAAGCTCAGGCTGTCAATAAAATCACACCAGAATTTTTTTCAACTAGTAATACAGTAAAAAAAGAGACTGTTTTGGAAACTTCTAAACAAACTTCAATAGATGAATATTTAAAGTCACAAAAGGTATGGAGCATTAATGACTCTAGGTCGCAAACTATTTATCGTAAAATTGGGTTGATGATGGCCTTAGACAACCAGCCATTTACTTTAGTTGAAGATACAGGTTTTAATAACTTAATGAACCATTTAGAACCCAGATATTGCATGCCAAGTAGAAAATTTTTTTCTAAAACAATAATACCTCAACTTTACATGGAGTTAAATAATAAAATTTCTGATAAATTAATAAAAACAGATTACATAAGCTTTTCTTCAGATATATGGACATGCCCAATTTCTCATGAATCATTTATTTCATTGTCTACCCACTCCATCGATAAAGATTTTAACAGATTTGATGTGGTATTACATGCTTCTCATTTTCCTGAAAGCCATATTGGAATAAACATATCTAAAAAGTTAGAAAGTATGTGGGATAGCTGGAAAATTCAAGCTGAAAGACGACATATTCTTGTAAGAGATGGTGCAAGCAACATGATAAGTGGGAGTAATCTAGCTGAAATTCCCGCAATCCATTGTAATATTCATTTACTTCAATTAGTTGTTTCAGATTCAATAAGTGAAAATATTGTAATTTCAAAATGTCGTCGACTTGTAACTCATTTTAACCATTCATCTTTAGCATGTAACAACTTTAAACAAATTCAGCTGCAACAAAATCTCAACCCTCTTTGTCTTGTTCAAGATGTTCTTTCAAAATGTCGTCGACTTGTAACTCATTTTAACCATTCATCTCTAGCATGTAACAACTTTAAACAAATTCAGCTGCAACAAAATCTCGACCCTCTTTGTCTTGTTCAAGATGTCCCAACAAGATGGAACAGCACTTATCTTATGCTTGATAGATTAAACAAGTTAAAAGTTCCAGTTCAACTATACTTAGCAGAACGTTCTGATTTAATGCCTTTTTCTACATTAGAATGGACAATAATATTAAACATTATTAAACTGTTAAAGCCTTTTTTCCAATTAACTCAGGAAATGAGTTCAGAAATAACAACTTTGTCTTCTGTAATTCCAAATATGTGCTCATTGAAGAAATTTATGTCAAAATGTCAAGTTGATTTAAGTATTCAAGAAACAAAGAATCGGCTTACAACTTCTTTAAAAAATAGATTTTTTTTTGAAATAAATGATGCGAAGTCTTTAAACATTTTGAAAAATACGTACTATGTCATAGCTACTTCAATTGATATAAGATATAAGTTTTCTTTCTTTAAGGATGATATCGAAAAACAGGCTAAGTACTGGTTAATAAATGAAATTTTATCCTTTGAAAAAACTCTTGTTTGTTCTGAAGAAGTAGAAGTAGATTTTAGTGTAAATGAAGAACCATCACAATTAAATTTTTCAATTAATACTGAAAAAGAAGACACTCTTAAAGCATGTTTCAAAGAAATTATAAATGCAACATCTGAAAAACCATTACCTTTTAAAAAATTAAAGTTAGAGAAAAAATCAAACGAGATTTTGATTAGAAAAGAAATAAAAAAGTTTTATTCTGAACCACTTGTAGGCAGTCCAATAAAGACCTGGATGCAAGAAGAACGATTCCCTCTTTTAAAAACAATTGCTTCAAAACATCTATGCACTCCTGCATCATCCATATTTTCTGAAAGATTGTTCTCAGAATATGGTAATATCTATGAGAAAAAGAGATCTAGGTTATTGCCTAAAACAGGAGAAATGCTTTTGTTTATTCACCATAATGGGAGGAAAATAGAATGACTCTTTGCATTTACTCATTTGTTGAAATTTTATTTGTTATGTTCTTTGATAGTATTATTAACTTTCTAAAACATTTTGTTTCATTGAATTTGATAATTTGATTTAAGCGATATTCATAAAGTATGTATGCAGGTATGGGAGGCGACATTATCTAAAAATGTTTAAATATTATCTAAAAGTGTACAAGTGTGTATAAGGGGTAGGGACAAGAGGGCAAATATGCAAAGTAAGGGCAAGGTCCAGGCAGCAAATATGTACATGGTTGGGCCATCTTTTTCATGAATTTTACTTCAAAAATTTTTTCAAAATTTTTATTTTAAACAAAGACAATTTATTGAGTGAAAAAATCTATAACAAAATATCAAAAAAGAAAAAAAAAAAGTTTATGATGAAATTTCAAAAAAATATAATAAAATCAAAAAAAAAATTTAAACATTAAAAAAAAATTTTTTGATTATTTTGATAGAAAATTTTTTTGCAAAACAAATTCTTTAAATTCTCAATTTCGATCATTTTAAATCTTAAAAAAATTGTTGGAAAGTTATGACTGTGTTTTTACCCCTCTCCAAATTGAAGGGGTAATTAATTAAACATGGTCATAACTTTGGAACATAAATTAATTGATGAAATTTAAAATCTATTGATGAATTTAGCTAGAGTATTAGATAGTATAATGAAATAACTAAATGATTTCCCTTGCATTTGGGATAGGTGGTTGAGAAAAAAACCTCTAAGGTTATTTTTGTTCCCAAGCTCTAGTTACCATGATTTTTTGATGCAAAACACTTTAATTCTATGGAAGCATAAAAAACTTAAGTTTAGAGTTTGCACAAAGCTTGATAATGTTATATCTGAGACTTTTTAAAACATCATGTTAGAGCCCATTTAGCAGCGTGTCGGTAAACCATTTTGATTTAGAGTTCTCAAAATTAAATTTCTACTTAAAAGATAAATTACCCTCCCCTAAAAAAATGTATTTATTTAATAATTCTTAATAGTTTTCAAACCTCTTTGTGCTCTGGGAAGTTTAAATTGAAGATAGGCTTGTGACCACTAATTGATCATAAGTGATCGTAAGATTGTGATCATTTAGTGATACGTAATTACAATAGCAATCATTGAAACATTTAACGTTCGCTGTTCGGAATCAAATTTTTAGTTGAAGACTTGTTCAAACGCCCTTCATAATAACACCAGAACTTAACAGCATAAAGTATTATCCGATGTATCCGGCCGGATATAGTATATATCCGGCCGGATACCGGATAGTAAATTATCCGGTATTTTTAACCGGATATCCGGCCGGATATCGTATCCGGTACACCTCTAATTATATATATATATATTATATATATATATATATATATATATATATATATATATATATATATATATATATATATATATATATATGTATATATATATATAGAAATATATATTATACATATATATATATAGAGAGATTCATAAAAAGGTGGCAAGATGGTTCATACTTTGGATAGCATCCCACCAAATCCCGCCCCACTTCGAGCACTGTATATATATATATATATATATATATATATATATATATATATATATATATATATATATATATATATATATATATTACATATTTGCATATATTTACTATTTTATACTATTTTACAGTTTTTATTAGTGGTTTAAAAATAAAAAAATAAAAGTATCTACAACTTTTTAAAATATTTTTGGCTTTAACAAAATCTTTGACTCATAAACTAGTTAATTATTTTTAATTGATGTTCATTCTATGATCAATCTAAAAAATTAATGATAATGGAAAAACTATTGTTATAAAGCAATTTAAAACTAAATTATTTAGAATAAATATATATAAGCAGGACCAGAGGTCGAGTCAATAGAAGGAGGGAGGCTACATCTATCACTTTATATACAAGTTACAGTAGACCAGAAATGAGTATAGTTCTTTTTGGCTTTTTATGACATCTTTTTTTTGCAGTGATAAATGGCATTTTTAAGTAAAGCTCTTGATTTCATAAAAATATAGGAGATTTGGCCAAATTTTGGTTTGTATACCAATAATAACAAATTTAACACTTGTATCTGAGATATAAGCTCATAAACAATCAAGGTATTCAGAGTATTTATTTAAATTCTCATGAGTCTCAAGACATGTTGATAATTGTAAACTTATCAGAAAAGCCACTTACAAGTTAGATAGCAACAGACCAAGTATTATCAGTAGTAATAACTCAATTCCTACTAAAGAGAGAATTATAACACAGTGCACCACCAAGCAACAGAACCAAAGGGTTTGTCACAAATATGACCATGCATACAATATTTTTTTTGACAACTTGGCCATGGTTTTTTTTGCATATATTCATAATTTGAATGTTTTTAAAAATGCGCTGAAAAAACCAAACTAATTTCAAAGGAAAATTTAAAATAAACAAACCATAAACTGAAAAGAAAAACAAATTATTATTACTTAACGAATAATGAAATAAATAAATGATAAACCAGAGAAAATAAAAGCATAAAAATTAATACAGTTTTTAATTTATAAGTACTTCAATTAATAGTTAATTAATGTTCAAACATAATTAATTTAAAAGTGTTTCAGTTAATATTTTAAAGCTAATAATTTTACCTCTATCACTATATCGATTTAATGCATTAGTAGATTAATTGTGTTATTTATGAGCCGCATCTGTTATATTGGAATCAGTTGAGGGTTCTAATTCTACTAGCATAAAACATATAGGAATATTATATGTTTTATTTTTATTGTAGACATTAGAGTTTGCTTTGTAGATTTTTAGACATCAAAGTTTCAAGTTTTTAAAGAAAATGTTATAAGTTTAAATATCAAGTTTCAAAACAAAATGTTAAATGCATGGCCATATAAGGCATGCGATCATACAGGTCTCCTGAGAAGGCTTGATATATATATATATATATATATATATATATATATATATATATATATATATATATATATATATATATATATATATATATATATATATATATATATATATATATATATATATATATATATATATATATATATATATTATATATATATATATATATATATATATATATATATATATATATATATATATAGATATATAGATATATATATATATAGATATATATGTATGTATGTATGTATATATACACATACACATGATGTGATATTATTAATAAATATTGATATAACATCTTAATGACAACCATTATGGTATTATATTAATAATTAAGTTAAACTTAATGTATTTAATTCATATATATTATATATGATTTTGCATTTAATTCATATACATTATATATGGTTTTGTATT